CCCCCAGGAAAGGCACTGGGCCACGTGTATACTCGTCTTCAGTAGTTAAAGGGTTAACGAGGGAATTGTGTGTACGGTATTGCCTCGATCTCCCCTAAGCGCTATTTTCTTCATAACAATTTTTTCTATTTTCATTTTATTTCAGAGTATTGCGGGCCACAAAAAATTACCTCAAGGGCCGCATGCGGCTCACGGGCCGCCAGTGTGACACCCCTGGATTATCTATAGCTAGGGGTAATTTGTGACTCAAAAAGAGATATATAACACTTTATAATTTTTATATTTAAGATGTCTATATTAAATTATTAGCTAGGAAATTAGTATTTTATATTAAATTTTTTCCTCTATTTTTAGGGTCATCCTAAAGTGTGTGAAAAATTAAAGGCTCTCATGGTTGAATGGACAGATGAATTTAAGAATGATCCACAGCTTAGTCTGATATCGGCAATGATTAAGAATCTTAAGGAACAAGGAGTTACGTTTCCAGCTATTGGCTCTCAGGTATTTTGTAAAGTTGTGTGATTATTACAATTTGTTTCTCTAAAGTAGCCATGTTTATCTGAATTTTTTTTTTTCTTCCAAACCCAATTCTGGAGGAATTTTTGTTAATAATCTTGCATTTAGAGGTGTCAGAAAAATACAGTGGAATATTAATATGTTCCAACTTCCACTTTCCCACTGTTTCTTATTCTTTCTTTATAAATGAATTAGTTGAACGTGCAATTTTTAAATTTAGTTTTAATGTTATAGGCAAAATTGCTTTATTATATCAGATAACACTGACCACCTCATTAAATGCTATTAATGTGATATTTTATCTGCAAACAATGACAGCTCAAATATCAAGATATCCTTAAAATTTAAGGATGAGTTTAGAGATTCTTTTTATTTTTAAGAAATTTATGAATACCTGTGTTAAAAAAGGAAGGAGATATAAAGGGGTCAATGTGAAGAGAAGCACATGAAGCATCTTTTCTCTTAATAAAAGCTGACCAGTGCATACGTCTTCTTCCTTTCTCCTAATCAATATGATTGATTGAAAGGCTTAACGTTCCTTTTCAAAGAAAAAAAAAGTGTTTACGTAATGAGACCAATCTCTAATTTATTCATATAAAAAAGGAAAGGGTATCTCTTTTATTGTTTTTCTATCCTGTGTAACCACCCTTTAGAATGCCCAACTAATCAGGGGGGGCTTAAAACATATGGTAATTTACTATATTGTCTTTCCCCACTGTATGGATTGGGGTAGAATATAACAAGTGGTGTGCAAGCATAAGCAGAAAACTCTCAGCTGTGAAGGGCTGAAGATTGGGGTTTTGACCACTTCAGGGAATCATGAAATGATTAATCCAGACTTTTCTAGACTTTCTTCCCAAGGCGCTTTCAGTTTATCTTTGTACTCCTGAGCTGTGAAGGCCCACAAATATACTTGGGAGTTGAAGGAAGGAAAGGATATTTTCCTTACTTGGAAAATTTGGCTTATGAATAGTTTTACAATGATAAATTATATCTTCAAGAAGTATTCATTTATAATTGATAGCTGGCTTTTACTAATAATAATTTCTAAAATCTATATAATTAAGGAATAATTTTATGCAGAATAATCCAAGATTATCTTATAATAAGCTCCATGACAACAGAAGCAATGGTGTTTTTTTTTTGGTTTTGTTTTTTTTTTAAAGATTTTTATTGGGGAACTGGGGGGATGGGAACAATGCTGGGGAACTGGGGGAAGGGGAACAGACAAGCCGCTGTCGTCTTGTTCCTCAGTCCAGCTGTGGAGGACGCTGCTTCACCGGCCCAAGCTGGCACCATCACTGCGCTCCTCCCGGGCGAGGCAGATCAGTCGCCAGCCTCTGGACGGCCGCTCACTGCGGTGGACGGCCGCTCACTCCGGCTGCCGGCCACACACGGCAGCCCATGGCAACCCACTGCCACAGGGGCTGCAGCCTATGCCGTCACCGGCGACTCAAGGCAGCCCAGCTCCAGGCCGAGCCGCCGCTCAGCATCTTAGCTGCGGAGGGCAGCGTCACCGGCCCTCACATGTGGGATCCGAACCGGGGCCCTCCGGTGTCCCAAGCCAGCTCCCAACCATCGCGCCACTTGGCCGGCCCCAGCAATGTTTAATTATCAAAGAATAGGTTCACTACAGAGAACTAAAGAGTGTAGATGCGTAGTGGAATTTTAATTTCTGTACCCTGAGTATCTGTTCTAGAGCTTGTTACTTAAAATGTAATTTGTTGACCATCATCATTGCCTGGAAGCTTGTTAGAAGTGCAGCATCTCAGGTGCCACTCCAGACCCATGGATTCATTGTCTCTATTTTAACAAGATCCCCAGATGATTCTTTGTGCACATTAAAGTCTGAGAAGCACTGCTCTAGAATACAGCTTTCAGTGCAAGTGAAAACTGCATTTCTATCCACAGAGGGACTTGTTCCTGTAAGAAAAGGAAGAAGAATTAATAATCTGTTTGATAATGTACCATTGTTGGTTAACCTACAATCTCAGATAGTTGTGGGAACAACTTTAGGGATTCTCTAATCTAATCCCCTCATTTTACAGATGAGGAAACTGAGACCCAGAATGGTTAAGTGACTTGCCCAGGGCCACAGCTAGTAGTTGACAGAGCTGGAACTAGAACACAGGCCTCCTGATTCTCAGTCCAGTGTTCTTTCCACTACACGATCCTGCCTTCCGTTTGATGTAGAGGTTAGTGGATATGTGTCTGTCCGGACTAGGCTTCAAAGGACAAGAAGTGGAGTGAACACTGGCAAGAGCATTGATTGATTGATTGGCATAGAAGTTAGGTTACTTTCAGTACATAAATCAGTAAGAATACAGTTAAGAGTTACTTTTCTTCTTTTCATCTAGATGTTATAAAATATGTGAAAACTAATTTTGTTGTAGTTGCTATCTTTCAGCCACAAGAAGACATAAAATGCATATAAAGTAAAAGACAAGGTAGAATGGTGGTTTTCTTATAGTAATTTCTGAAAAGCGCATCATTGAAAAGCCTGTTTAATGAAAAAAATGTGATCACCTAAGATCAACTGTAGAAGTCCCTCTAGATTTTGAGGTCACTTTGTTGCTGCTTAAGTCATTACTACATTTAGTCAGACTAGATCTTTGTTTAGCATACGTCACAAAAGCCTGAGGATTTTTGAAGTGCAGTTTTTCATCCACGTACAGAAGAAAATGATATAAAAATATTAAGAAAAGTCATTCTTTAGTCACCTAACTTATGCTGCTGCAGTTCCTTTAGCAATAACTTTTTAGACATGGAGATAAAAATAATGCTACACTGCTGCTGTAATTGACTAGTTAATAAGACAAATGTCATTGCTGCACTTAGAACCTGATGATAGGAAGGAACTCAGAAAAGCGTGCAGCTCAGGAACGTAGGGCTTAATGTGGCTTCTTCTGCACTTCCTTCTGGACCCATAGAGATTTCTTCACAGACCACAAAAAAGCAATATGCCTGTTTTGTGAAATTCACCCCATTGTGAAAAAATGTTCATATTTAATGAAAAAGATTGCCTCTGACTAAGAGTGCCTTCAATTTTCAGAGTTACATAGTGATTAAAACATTACAAGAGGATCAGAATTGAAAGTGCTTAAAGTTCTATTCAGTGAACTATAAAAAGCTTTTTTAAAATCAGCTTTTCTAAAAATAAATGCCTTGTTCATTTGTTTGACATTATAAAAAATACTAAATGAAGAATATAGAACTGTATTTTACCATAAAATGTTGAATATTTTGCCTTTCATTTGCTCAACAATCATTTAAAAATTAGAATTCCAATTTTTTTAATTGGTTGCTTTGGGAATCACAGTATACATTTGTAACTTTTCATACTCTATGTTGAGTTAGTATGGTATTTCATGTAAAATGTAGAAACCTTCAACTCTATAGGGTTTATTGGCTCCTCACTTGAGCATCTTTTATGCTATAGTCATATGTCTGACATAACGTTTCTTCACATATAAATCCCAGGGGACAATGCTATACTTTTTGTTTTAAACTCCAAAAGGTTCCTATCTTATCTGATTTTGGAAGGTACATGTGTTAATTTAATCCTCTGAAAAGCATGTGATGTGTCAGTCTTATCACTATTCTGGTTTTGTAAGTGAGGAACTTGAGGCACAAAGGTCAGTGTACCCAAGGTCATAATACCTTAGAAGGTGGCGGATCTGACATTGGATCCCATGTTTGCCTGACTCCACAAGTTACATTTTTAACTGCCCATATCATCGTACCTTGTTTAAAAGTGTTATCAGAGGAACACAGGAAAGAATGCTTAACTAAGAGATTTAGGAATGTTTCACTGAGAAAGTGATATTTTAGCAGTTTACTGACTGGTGAGTTGAGAAACTTAACAGTGAAAAACGTGGCTGTAGTAAAAGGAGCCAGAAGGGAGGACATTAGACATAGAAGCAAGTGTGTGTCAGAGGTGTGTGTTGCGGGGGCAGGGAGGGTAGGTAGCAGCTTTTGGTAACCAATAGGATGGCTGAGAATAAGGCTGGTAAGATAGGCGAGAATCAGTCTGATTTGCCTTGATTGCCATGGAAAAATTTAGTGGCCATTGAGGCTTAGAAGCTTATAATTCCATTAGTGTGAATAAATTTATGTATTCATTTACTTGTACACTACCTTATTTATAACATATGTTTAAGATGGACAGTAGTATATTCCCAGAATAAACTACTTGTATTTTAGTGTACAAAATATTATAATTTTATGAGCATTTATATTGTTATATATAAATCTGGGTCCCTAAAGATAACATCCTGATTTTGATCTGGAGGGAAACAATAAAATGTAACTCCTAAATACATATTTAAAATATAAAAAAAACTCCATGTTTTTAAAATAGTCATCCTCTTCCCTCTCTCAGCCCCTTTTCTGGTTTTAGAATTTTTCTAAAAATTTAAAAATCTCCTCTATAGTCTTCTCTGATTTTGTCTGCTTTAGTTTAACCTCTACACAAATCTACGCGAGTTATTAGGCTGTTGACTCTCAGTCTGTTTGTTCCAGTTCTAACTCTTCTCCTTCTCAGGCTGCTGCAGTTTGAATTTTTTTCTTCTTCAGAAGGCTGTGGTAGACTGATGAGAAGGGTCTTGCAAGTTTGTAGATTAGACGGGGTAGGAAAATTTGAGAACAGCCCTCAAATATCATGTTCCTTTTTGTGTGTTAGGCTGCAGAACAAGCAAAAGCAAGCCCAGCTCTGGTAGCCAAGGATCCTGGTACTGTGGCTAACAAAAAAGAAGAAGAAGACTTAGCAAAAGGTATGTTTTAATTCCCTGATGGTGGTAAGAAGATAAGTCTGTTACTTAATGTTTATTCCCCTGAGATATTTAAAATGAAAAGAAATAGGACTTTATAGCTAAAGCTGAAATCTACTTTATTTCCGTCCTCAGTATCATTTGTTTCTTCTCCTCTTCCAAGGCAACTACTATCATGTGTCTTTTCAGTCTGTATTTTTATAATATTCTTACTATACTGTATATCCATAAACAGTAGATACTGTGTACAACTTTTTTCATGTGAAAATGTGTTTGTGATCTAATGATGATGAGGCATATAAATCAGTTCATTTGTTTTAACTGCTGTATAATATTCCAGTGTACTAATAAATATGTATTGTAATTTATTCCTCCTACTGATGGACATTTGAGTTTTCTGATTTATTTTTTTTTTACTAGAACAAGTATGCTGTATTGAGTATCCTTTACATGTTCTCTGTGTACATACACACTTACACACACACGTAACTTTTTGTGACTGTGGTATTGTTAGCTCATGGGATAGGTACATCTTCAACTTTGCTGAATAGTTGTATTCTTTCCTCTTCCATCAGGAATGTATGAAAGCTATTAGTGTTTTTAGTATCCTTACATTTGGTACTGTCAGAGTTTAATTTTTATGAATCTAATGGGTTTGACATAATATGTAATTATTTTAATTTTCATTTCCTTGATTACTAGTGAGGTTGAAGCCTTTTTGTATGTTTATTATCTGTTCTGATTGTTGAGTCTTTTTTTAAATTAATGCTATGTAGGAAATTTTGTTTTTTTAAAATTTTATTAAATTTATTGGGGTGACGTTGCTTAAGAAAATTGTATGGGTTTCAAGTGTACAATTCTTTAACACATGATCTGTATATTGCATTGTGTGTTTACCATCCAAAATCAAATTTCCTTCCATCACCATGTTTTGACCCCCTTTATTTACCCTTAGAATCTTTTATTTTGGATGCTAATCTTTTGACTATTAAATCTATTGTAAATACCTACTCTTGGTTTTTGGTTTATACTTTAAATTTTTTAATGGTGTGTTTTATCAAACAATTTTTAACGTTTGATGTCCAAGTTTTTGCTTTTCTATGATTTTTGCTTTTTTTGTCTTAAGATATTTTTCCTTACCCTAAGATCCTAAAAGATATTTTTCTACATTTTCTTAGGCTAGTTGTAAAGTTTTTGGTTGAGTCAAAAGCAGGGCAGTCAGTCTAAGATGACATTGCAGAACCTGAGTGACACATGGCGCTGACCTACACTGGGGGAGATAGAGGAGACAAATTTGAAATCCATTTTGGGGGATTTGTTAGGTCAGACTTTACTGTAGTTATTTCTAAAATCCAGTTCTTAGACTGATTACATAAGAATTACCTTTGGAATTACAGATTCTCAGATACTACCTTTGAGGCTCCGCAAAGAGGCTCAGCACTCTGACTTCCCAAGTGATTTTGATGATCATTTTGGGAACTTAAGCTATAGAAGTACATGGAAAAGATAGAAGAAAATATATCTGCAGCTAAACTTTAAAAATTGGATCTAAGAGTTTATATCTTTTTATTACTCAGAAAAAGGTAAATTGTATCTGTTCAGTAAAAATAGTCATCACGCTGTTCAATATTTTTGTTAATTTTTTTAAACTTTAAGTTGTGAATCAATGAACAAAATTGGTGAAGTGATTTTTGTTCAGTATATAATATGATGATATGTCCTTAGTTTTCAGCTGTACTACTGAAAGAAGAATAGTTTTTTACCGTCAGATATCTTTTTGTACTTATTTGGATTGTTGGCTATGTTAACTATTTAAACCCATTATTTTCCAGCCATTGAATTGTCCTTGAAGGAACAAAGGCAGCAGTCAACCACCCTTTCCACTTTGTATCCAAGCACATCTAATCTCTTAACTAACCACCAACATGAAGGTCGAAAAGTTCGTGCTATATATGACTTTGAAGCTGCTGAAGATAATGAACTTACTTTTAAAGCTGGAGAAATTATTACAGTTCTTGATGACAGGTAATGGTTAATATTAAATTGAACATTCATATGAACATATATAACGTATTACTTTTGTGTTTCACATTATTCCTGTTGGATGCCATCACCAAGTGTAATAAAAAACTTTGATGTAGATTTTTTTTTTAAAGATTTTTTATTGGGGAATTGGAGGGATGGGAACAGCGCTGGGGAATTGGGGGAGGGGAACAGACAAGTTGCTGTCGTTTTGTTCTTCAGTCTAGTTGTGGAGGACGTTGCTTCACTGGCCCAAGTTGGCACCATCATCGCGCTCTTCCCAGGTGAGGCAGATCAGTCGCCGGCTTCTGGACGACTCACTGCTCACTGCGGCTGCTGGCCGCTCACGCTGGCTTATATATTTTCTTTGTATGACGGTTGCTTTACTTGTGTCAGACTGCCTAGATAGATTCTTATTTTGTAGCTTAATTTTTTTCTCATCTATTATTTAAATAGTTTTTGAGTTTTTTTGGAGGCCTAGTTTAAGTTATTCATTTTTGGTTCCATCTAATAATATAGATTGTTAAATTATTAAAAAGTTAAGATTTTAAAGAACATAGCAAGTATGTATATGTATTTATGGAATTTGTAAGAAATACATAATATATGGAGTTAATTTATCATTTGGTATATTCGTGTGGAACAAATCCATCTTACATGGAGTTATACATTTACATTATCATAGGGGAGGTGATACATGTCTTTTAGTACAGCTTTATGTTTACTTGAAAATTAATTGTTACTGATAATGAAGTACTAAACTTTTCAAGTGGATTTAAAAAATAAATTCAGATGCATTTAAGGTTATTCCTATAATATCATACTTTAATATGTTTTATTGAGTGGGAGAAAATGAAATTAAGTTTGAGCTGGTTCACTGGAAATTGCACCAAACCTCGATCATCATTCATTCAAAAAATATTTATTTTTTGCTAGCTCTTCTTATACTCGACACTTGGATATGTAGAGAGTATGGGTATGCACCTGGGAGTATGCTCCTGTGAACGTTTTATGTTATAAACAGTGTCATCTATCATACATATGTGTTCACTTGTGGAGGAAAATTTGCTAATTTGTCCTAGACATTGCTGAATGAAATCTGGATTAAGGACCTTCCACATATCTTATTACAAAGGATTCTTACTCTGGAGCCCATGACCCACCTGAAGTTAACAATTTTTAATGGTGGGGGCCTCCTTTTTGGGGAGAGAATTACGAGCCTTGTATTAGATCCCCAAAGTGTTCACCAGTCTTTCAAAAGATAAAGGAGTATCTGTGTAATTGCATCTTATTTTCTCTGAGACCTCATCTCTTATTTGTAATAATTATACATTCATTTCCTTCACTGGATTATTGTGGGATTCAAATCTGGCAGTGAAGCTACACACCATTAAAGGTAAAATATTTGTGGAAATAAAAATCTTTATTATACTAAAGCATTCTTTCTTGTTCCTCACAGTGATCCCAACTGGTGGAAAGGTGAAACCCATCAAGGCATAGGGTTATTTCCTTCTAATTTTGTGACTGCAGATCTCACTGCTGAACCAGAAATGAGTGAGTATTTTCCATCTGTCAGCGGATGATAATTTATAACCCGCTTAAGTTGAGTAAAGTTGAACTTGCTACAATACAATACAACAGGGACTCTGAAATGTTAGTGCCTCTAAGGTGTTTATTAAAAAAATGTAGTTTCCTGGTCAGTAGATTATTTACCAGAAATCATCTTAAGAATTGCAGTCATCTGTCTACCAAGATTATCTTTAGGCAGACCATGGACTTTCTTAAAAAGAAAGATGCACACACACACACACACACACACACACACACACACACACACACACACTCTCTGTACTGTAAAAATGCACGTTAAGAAGTGTTAATGGAATTTATGTGTTATGTATTTATGTATAATGTTTTCATTATCAGTTGATAAAAGTGTGCAGTGTAACCTCCTAGAGAATTCTTCCCATTCAAAGATTGAGACTGTTGCTCTAATGTTCTAGCCTCCAACTTGGAACTGTGGCCTCTAAGCAACAATAGTGGCTTTCCTAGCCCCCATGTCAGATATTCAGAAGGAGCCATAACTAATCTGTTTGATTTCCAAATCTTTGATGACTAGGAGAAGTAAAGTAGAAAGTGGGGCCAACGAGGAAAAGTGATCAAAACGTTGGTAGATAGTTGACTATATTTCTTCATAATACTGCACTTGAATAACTCTTCATAATGATGAGTTAGAGTCATCAAGATTAAGTCATAACCACCCCCTTTAAGGAAACAAATATGTTCTAGTGTAGAAAGATTTCTGTTAGTGATTGAAATGTTTAAAATTTAAAAGAGTTATTGTATATAAGTCAGTAAGCTACAGTTCTCTGGCAGAATATCTCAGCTCATCTCATCTTTCTATATTGGTAGGTAGAAGGAATCAAAGAAAATTATAAACTGCAAGGTGCTTAGGTCTTTTTTAGTTTACAAGAATTTTAAGAAAGGATCTGTCTTAGTCATCTTTTTTTTTCCGACAGTACCTAGTAGTGAATCTTATCCAGAATACAGACTATGTAAATAAATATTTATGCAATAAACGATACATAAGTGCGTATATATAGATATATATGTTAACAATAAAGAGATAGTTTTCTTTAAAAACATAAGGACACTTCTTTCAAGAGAAGGCTTTAACAAGCCGGACAGTACAGATCTTAGATAAAACGGTGCCCTCTCATAGTTATTGCCTGGTTGTCTTGTGTCACTTTCATAAAGATTCCTGATACCCAGTCCTTTAATGGGTTCTTTTTTCATCAGAAGTCAAAAAAAACATTGTTGCAGAATCTTGTTTAAATGGCAGTACATACCGTGCCAACTTTTTAGCCTGAGCTGATGATGGTGGTGATTTTGGGGGGTTTGATAGGTTTTTTTTGTCCTGAATCAGCTGTTGGGAAGGGTAGAATTGTCTTGGACTTCTGTTCAAGATGAGATCCAAGATCTCTTGTAGATCATGTAGCCCTATTGTCTTTGCCCCATCGTATATTGGGTGTCGGAAAAGTCATGACATATTTTTTCTATGTTTTTCATTGCAAAATGCGTCATGACTTTTCCAGCAACCCAATAGCATTGCAGCTTTAAAATGAGTATTCTAGCTTATCTCAGATGTTTCACCCTGGACCACCTGAAAGAGAAACAGGAGCATCAGTGCTTATGTAATAGAGTTAAAGTCCTCAAACTTGGAAAGATAGTGTTAGCATGACCCTCGTAACATCATTCTTTAAGAGGAAACAAGCCCACTTCACTGTATCAAGTAGAAATACCTGCCCTGCTTAGCTTCTCTTGTTTTGGAGATGCATTAAGATATATTTACATATGTAAAGATAATATTATAATACACACAATATTGTGTGCACAGTAATAGTTCCTAGGAGCAAAAGCACTGCAAACTTGTGTGCTGTCAGTTGGTAGGATGTGACGTCTACCATGTATGTTATGGGTTTCAACCAATACAGTGCTATCCCAGCTTTCTACTTGTTAATAGTTCAAGATATAAACGCAAAAATATATATAGTCGATATCTCTTTTTCCCCATGGGAAAATGAAATCAGCTGAAACTTTTTCAAATGTAGAATTTTGCTTTATGCTGGCTTGAATGGGATGAGTATATTCCTTATGTTGGAAATCAACTATTTCCATTTTATATGGAGTCTCTCAATGCAGAATGCGTAAGTGGTATAACTTCCTGTTCTCAGAGTAAAATCACAGGCCAGATTTCAGTGGTGGGGGCTGGTGGAGCCAGATAAATTGGCATTCAAATCCAGGCTTTGCCATTCGTTAGTTTTCACCTGTGCAAGAGTTTATACTCTTTCTAAGTCACTGTTAACCTCAGTTATGAAATGGGTATATCTCATAGAATTGTACTGTAGATTCATGGGAGGAAATGTAATATATATTCCACTAAGCATATTTAATAGTTTAAGAGATATTATTTCCCTTCCTTAATTCTGCTCTTTTCCCACCCCCCTCTTCATCTTGATTCTTAATATTTTTTATGAGTACCGATTGACCACATTGATACAAGGATGATTAATTTTTGTTTTAGAAATATATCTCTTATTTTTAGTAAAGTATCTTTTATGGAAAATGTAAAATCTTTAGAAGATCAAATTAAGAAATCTTGACATGAAGTTGTGTTTTGTCATTATTGCTTAAATCTGCAGCCTAATTATTCCTTAAATTGAGTATCTCAGCTTGAAGGGAATATAAGAAAAACTCAAATTCTCTCTTGGAACTTAAATTGCTTTCAGATAGAATTTTAAATTTTACAAGGAAAAGATAAATGTTACATGTTTTGCAGTTAAAACAGAGAAGAAGACGGTACAATTTAGTGATGATGTTCAGGTAGAAACAATAGAGCCCGAGCCGGAACCAGCTTTTATTGATGAAGTAAGTGGTTTCCTCTGTGAGAGGGATTCATACTTCGTATTGAAGCTGAAACGTTTTTCTTGCCTTCTTTAAAAAAAAATGATTACTTGATTAATGCATGTATTGTGTTATAAAAATTCAAACAATATAGACAAAACAAAGATTCTCCTTGAAACTTCCTCGACACTAAAGTTGATTACAATTTTTTGTGGGTTTTTTTGCTATTGCAAACACTATTGTGAGATTTTTTTTTTTGGATATACTTCCAAGAATGTGTAAATTTTATTTTAAAATGTCAGTATTTAATGCTCTGGAAATTATGTTCTTTGTACCATTTTAAACTTATGATGAAAAATGGGATGTCATCTTTAAAATATGTGAAGGGATTTATAGGTTTTTAGCCTTCTTTTAGGGGAGCCAAAAGCAGAAAGTTTGGGGAGTGCTCTTTTAGAGAAGTAAATGGTAGAAGACGGTCCTGGGCTCCAAGGAATCCAACTGGGTCAGGTAGAGGTGTTGGCCGATTGTATTACATAAGAAGACGCAAGTAGGGTCAGACTAGTGGACTGTCTAGAAACCTTATTTTTCCGATAGATTATTTCAAATAAGGTGTAGTATTCCATAAACAAACAAGACAAAAATAATCCACTTGTTAGCTGACTCTGGTCTCATTTTACCAACAACACCCCCCCCCCTTTTTTTTTTTTTGCTGTAGGCAAAGTTTTCTGACATGTGCTTTCTTTTCTAGACTACTTAAAATGAAAATTGTTAATCTTTTACATTGAAAAATAGTATCCATTTCAAAATACAAAACTGTTTTGGCTTCAGAAGAGTTTTATATACGTCTGTCACTTTCACTCTCTAGTAATTAATTAATCTCTTAAACTGTTCTCCTATACAGAATACAAAGTTTTTGTTTCGGTTTAAATAACTACTTTGCTTTGAATTGGTAGTCTTTACGTTATTTACCTAATGCACCTATGTTTAGTAGCATAACCATATAAAAACTATGCATGGAGAAAAGTCTAATTATTACAGTAATAATCTTTGGTACATGAGATCTATATTTTGATTTTTTGAAAACCTACGTATAAATACATATGTACTTACATAATGTATGGATATATTTATGTGATGATGATTTCCTTAGTCCAATTGGTCCTTAAAACAAAAGATTCTGAAATATTGTAGATCTAAGTCATTGCTTTGAGAAGCCTCCCAGCCTTTCCCTCATAGGAGAGTAGAGAAACCACAAACTGAAACATTGGTGGGGAGAAAATGTAGACTAAGTTTTTATGGCCCTACTTAGAAAGAGAACAGCTGTAATATAGCTGAGTATTGCCTTACTAAAACAGCTGCTGTATTCACCATGGGGGAGAAGCAATAACTGAGTTATTAGTCATAAGTAATGCCATCTTGAGAGAGAGGTTACACCTGTCAGCATGGCAGGGCTACAGCTGCCTCAAAACAGTGAAACCCACTAGCACGACATAGAGATTGAAGAACTCAGGCATTGTAAGTTTAAATGTGGCTCTGTTTCTTCTCAAGAGAATCTCTTAGCAATTTAAAAAATAGGTTGGTTGAGCTTTCAAGGCTCTGACTTCATAAGATACCAAAGAGAGTACACAGATATACTAAATACATAGAAGCAAAATTGAAGTCTCCATATCTGTGAATTCCAGAAGTTCTCTATTATCTAATTACAAAGTGAGAACATATTGTTGCATAATAATGTGTTACTTTTTATTTTAACTGTTTAATTTCTGTAGGATAAAATGGACCAATTGCTACAGATGTTGCAAAGTACAGATCCCAGTGATGATCAACCAGATCTTCCAGAGTTACTGCATCTTGAAGGTAAAACTTGTTTTCCAATTACCTGCAAATAAAGACTAATTAGAGGTTATATTTAGTGTTCTTTTAACAGAATGGTTTATATGTAAATAAAATTGAGAATGATACAAAAATGTTAATATTTCTCTTCTGTGACCCAGTTTCACATGTATATACAGTTTAAACCTTTGGTAGAATTCAATTTCTTACACTTTTCTGTCCAAATTAAATATTTTACTCAAAATATCCAAATATTTTATTAAACATTTTAGAATGTTGTAAAAAAAATTGGTATTTTAATATTTTTGAGATCAGTATAATTTGAAGTATTGATTTTCTAAATACCCAGATAAATCAATCTTGGGTTCTGTGGGCTATTAATATAATTTTTATTAATCCAAATTAGATCTTGTATTTCTTAAATTATGTGACTGTCCATCAGAGATTTGCTTTCTTTTCCTGCGTTTTCTTATATTTCTTCAAATCTTGTCATCTTAGCAATGTGTCACCAGATGGGACCACTCATTGATGAAAAGCTGGAAGATATCGACAGGTAAAGAATGTGTGCTGCCTGTATATTGTGTACCTTCTTCCCCAAAGTTCTCTGTGCACTGCACACTGGGATGGAGCTGTCATTTATTTTATTTTATTTTATTTTTATTTATATTTGCCAAAGGAACCAGTTCTTCACTTGTTTTCTACTAGATGTGGGAATTAGAATTAGACTTGTCTTTCCCTTTTTATTTTAAAAAACTAAGGATTTGTTTGACTCTTACTGTATTAGTATTTTTTAAAAAATAAAGGTTAGCTATTATAATCATGTTTGCAATAAGTGACATTGCTAGAGCTCAAATGATCCATCTGTTATTAACTAGGGAAACCTAGATATTTGGAGGTAAAGGCATGTATGATAAGCTAGAGTTATCCCAGCACAGTGCCAAAAATTTAAATAGTTTTGGTTGCCTTGGGGCCAAGATACAGGATATTGTCTGTCAGAAGATTAAATTTTTAATAATATCTACTTATACCACTTTTTTGCTATTTTAATATCTTACTATTTAGAACATTGTATCATTCAAGTAATAATGTTTCAAATTATTGTATACTATTTCAGAAAACATTCAGAACTCTCAGAACTTAATGTTAAAGTGATGGAGGCACTTTCGCTGTATACCAAGTTAATGAATGAAGACCCAATGTATTCCATGTATGCAAAATTACAGAATCAGCAGTATTATATGCAGTCATCTGGTGTTTCTGCTTCTCAGGTAAGCTTTTAAAAACTCAAGTATACAAGTATATCATTTTAGATTCTCTAACATAGATAAGATTATTTGGAATAGCTATGTTTTTGTAAAATGTGAAACTTTCTAAAAGTAATGTTTAGAATAAAAATAAAGTTTAAAAGAATCTTTTACTTGACAAATACAACTTATATCAATAGTTCTTCATATTATTATTATTAGTAGTAGTAGTAGTATTTTTCTGCAAGGGTGCCCTCAGAACCACCCATCAAGCTTTTTAAAAAAAATACAGATGCAGTTTGGCCCCGCTTCTGACCTATTGAATGAGAATCTTCAGGCACAAGGCCCAAACATCTGTATATTTTTAAAGCTTCACATATAATTATCTGGTTAACCGCAGTTTTTATCTGAGTAAAATTTCTAATTAGTACTGAATTCTGAGTATCTACGATTTTCAGTTTTTACAGTGAGCTGCTTTAGTCTGGATTTTTTCCCCCGTCATTACATGCGAACACATGTAATACAATACAGAGCCCTTTCCTTGTATCCACCCCAAGCAACTAGTTCAAAAAACTTCTTTCCCACAAAGTGAGGAGTTTAGGGTATAGGGAGTAATTAGCCAAGCTCTCCATTTTATCCATGCAGAGTAGCACAGACTTTGTGCGGGTTAATTTTTTTTTTTTTTGCGTTGTCCATTTCCCCTGAAATAAGGGGCCAGAACCCTGGAAATAAGCAGTCAGGCCTGAGTAACGTGGGACTAGATGACACCTACTCACTTGAGCAAAAAACCAAAAAACTTCCATGTTCAATTTGCAAAGTATAAAAAGAAAAAAAAATGTATTTATGAGGACTGGAATAGCTGTGTTTATAATAAAGGACTGTTGAGTCTCTTAGGACTTAACAGAAGTGCTGAGATGACTGTATTGTCTCCTGATGGTTGTGTTACTATCTTAACTGAGTCTTACTGCATAGACCATGGAGTTCCCTTCTCAAATGTGAAATGAAAGGATCTACTGAATATTACAGAAAACTAGAATGTTATGTGTATTTAAGATTTGGGGGCATTTAAGACTTTAGTTTCTTTACAGTAAAACAGGTATAGTCTTTAGATGCAGGAGTAGGCAAACAATGGCCCAAGGAACAATTCCAGCCTCCCATCTGATTTTTTAAATAAATTTTTCCTGGCACACAGCCACTCTCATTTATTTATATATTGTTTCTGGCTGCTTTCTATATGAATGGACTTCATTAGTTGTGACAAAGATGATACATACGGCCCACAATGCCTAAAATATTTACTATGTGGACTTTTACAAAATAGTTTGCTGGCCCCTGCTTTAGAAAGTAAGTTAACTGTATGTTCAATGAACTAATTTAGGAACTATAAATTGTATCTATAAGCAAGTGTAGTCTGTTGATACAAAACAATTCAAAGGCAGTTCTTAAACACCCTTTGGATTCCTTTTAGGGAAGCACTTAAAATATCAATATGGAAAAAGATTATATTAGTATAAAGTTTCAAGGTAAGTTTCTTTACTGCTTCTGTATAGAAACACAAGTTTAGCCAATGTTTACCTAAGAGAAATCATCAGAGGCCAGCTTCACTGAAAAGTGTCTTGAAAATGGCTGTCAACAGAAGTAACGTAACAAAAAAATTTCTGAGATGTAATTGTTATTTTTTTTGTAACTGAATGCCTCTACAAAGAAAGTTGGACATGCCTGTTAAAATCTTAGGAAATCTAATGTGTGTTATGAACTGTTCTAGGTGTATCCAGGGCCTCCTCAGAGTGGTGCTTACCTGGTGGCAGGGAACGCCCAGATGAGCCATCTCCAGAGCTACAGCCTTCCCCCAGAGCAGCTGCCTTCTCTCAGCCAAGGAGCAGTGCCACCGTCTGCAAACCCAGCCCTTCCTAGTCAGCCAACCCAGGCTTCTTACCCTAAGTAATTTCATTATTGACTATTGTTTGGAGTTAGTGCTGTTAAAACTCTTAAGTGCCCCTAGTCATCTGTAACCATAAGAACTGGATAAGAAAAATCCAGGATAGACGTCATCACCTGATACCATCTGATCAACCCTCTCTGTGGTCATGAGTGGGTTTCTACAGGAACCCCTGCAGTATTGCAGTACCAGGCAGCAAGCCTGTCAGTCCTCAACTGACTCATTGACATGCTGGAGTCTGGTTTTAACTTTCTCTTAATTTGTTTTTGTTTTTATTTGAATCTATGATTTTGCTAAGGACTTTAATGACTTAGATTTGATAACTATAATTTATCATTTTCCACAAATTTCATATAAAATCTAAATGTTTTATCATTATTGTTTCAGAATTGATGGTTGTGGGCTGTCTCCTAAAGAAAAGTATTTCCTTCTTTTTGCCCTGTATTAGAATTTAATATATATCACAGCAAGATAAACCATTTGAAAAGACACGGTACAAAAACTGTTTGCCCCTGTGGTTCAAAGGGCAAGTATCTGACTATAAAATGACAGGCTCATTGTTTTGGTCACTTATACTGCCCTCTATCATGTAGTAAAAGGATTATATATCATGTACTTTATAATTATATAAGTACTTTTTCTGCTAAGCTGAGGTCTTTCCCTTGAAATAAATGAAAGACAGGCTTTAAGAGTTCACCAGTGTGCAATTCTAGAAGTCATGGTGTTCTGACTTGCGACAGAAGTTTCTTGGTGGCACAGGCACAGTTTCCAGAAACCTTTCCTTCAATACTGGAGTTGCCCAGGAAGGTTTCTGTACTGCCCTTACTGTTGTATTATTCATCCTCAAAAGAGTCTCGCTCTCAGGATGTTTGGGGATTGGCAGATACTATTTTGTGGTCACCTCTAGTACCCTGAAGTGACCTTAAGAAGGATGGTAATGAGGAGGCCTGTTATAGCATCGAAAACGGTATTCCTACTGGGTTAGCTAGCTCAGGGAAAATGTTAGGTATAACTCTTTCTGTCCCCAGGACTTTTTTTTTTAAGTTGAAATTTGGTGAAAATGAATATCTTACATGGAAAATAGGCAAACAGGTAGGGAGCAGTTATTGTTAGAAGAGGAGCATGCGGCCTTAAAACCAGGTACAAAGTGAGTAGAGGTAGGTATTGTAGAGAAATCAGCCAGTGCGTGAGTTGTGTAGGAACCTCTTAGATATTTCAGTGTCATCCAGAAATGCTACCTCTGAAATGACGTCTACCTACCTTGTTCCTGGAGATTACTTGGGGCCCATTGTTAGTTCAGGGCCTTGAGAAATTTCCTGGTAGATGAGAGAATCTGTTGGTGGGTGCTGTAGCCATGCCACAGAGTGGTAACACTTGTTGCTGTTCTCTGGGGGTGGCTCTGTCTGTTTCCACAGTCAGGATGTGAAATGTGTGGTGCAGGACGTGAGCTGTATTCCAGGGCCTGACTGTACTGATACAGTGTAGCTGTTAATGTCACCTCTGAAGAAACACACATGCATTTGAACGGGTGCTTTGTGTAGAGCTTTTCCTTGAAATCTTTAGCTCTCTTTGCCTGGCTAAGTCCTATTTATTTGTTAGTTCTCAGCTTCTTCTTTACTAGAATGGCTTCCCACCTCTCCAGTACTGTTCTTCCTCTTCCTGTCACAGGACCCCAGCACAATGAGTCCTGTCTTGTAATCTTCTTTAGACTTGTCTGTATCCTCACTAATTATCATATCTTGATAGCTGGAGCTGCATCTCTTTCACCTTTATATCCACACTGTGCAGCTCGGAGTTTTACACCTGGTAGGAACTCAGTAAATGTTTGATAAATTTTTAAGTGTTGATGGAAATTTCAGGAGCTGCATTAAGCCAGTAAGATATATTTTTAAATCCCTTGCAAAGCCTTTACAAAGGCTTTGAGCCAGTTCTCAAAAGGATATATATTGGGTTGTTGGAAAAGTCATGACGTATTTTTGCAACAAAAAACATAGAAAAATACGTCATGACTTTTCTGACAACCCAATAAGTGTATAACATCATTTATAAAATATATTTATAAATATGTAAGAGCAATTTTTTATGTGTGTGTTTAAATGAGGGAATTGATGGCAAAGCAAATGTAAGATGAAAAAATTAGAAGGAAGAGAATTGGGGTTGGAAGTACACTTGATAGAGGTATACTGCACATTTGGCTCAAGCTTTCTAATTGCAAATCAAGGTCAATGAGGTTTTTTTTCCATTTTTGGTAGGAAGGTTTTTTAGTTGCCCTAGTTCATGTCTAGGAGGCAGTTTCTTATTGTTGTACATATAATTTTGGTTCTAGGGTTATAACTTTTCCAAACTTTGGTGTCACCGGTGGTTTGGATGTAGTTTCCTAAACCTGCCTGTTGTAATGGTGGCGATGATAGTATTAAGGCAGTGGGTCTCAACCTTCTTAATGCTGCGACCCCTTTAATACAGTTCCTCATGTTGTGATGACCCCCAACCATAAAATTATTTTTGTTGCTACTATATAACTGTAATTTTGCTACTGTTATGAATCGTAATGTAAATATCTGATATGCAGGATGTTATTTTCATTGTTACAAATTGAACATAATTAAAACGTAGTGGTTAATCACAAAAACAAGATATAATTATATATTGTGAAATATTTATAATTCATGAAGTGTCGTTTTACCTCCAATACTGCTGCTTTCAACACAGCAGCTGTTTTCTACACAGTAGCTGCTCTCTACACGTGTGACTGGTCCGCATAAGTACATTATGGCGCCAACCCTGTCACATACACCTGTATTTGTACGGGGTGTATGTGATGGGGTTGGCGCGATGATGTCATCACGCCGGGTACTCGTATGTGGGCGTACCTGCATGTGGGTGGACCCACGTGGAGACGGATAGAGGAGCGGTGTCTCGGTTCCTAAGACCATCAAAAATATGTGTTTTCCGATGGTCTTAGGTGACCCCTGTGAAAGGGTCGTTCGACCCCCAAAGGGGTCGCGACCCACAGGTTGAGAACCACTGTATTAAGGTGACCAAAGCGGTGTATTTGTTGGTCTTGTATTTCAAGTTACTCCTGTTAAATATTTGTTGAACATTTAGTCTGCCAGATACTATGCTAGACACTTGACATACAAGTGTGATTTAGTTTCACCCCCCCTCCAGCTTTATTGAGATATAATTTACATATAACATTTTGTAAGTTTAAGGTGTACAACTTGTTGATTTGATACATTTATATGTTGCAAATTGATTACTAATACAATTACCTAACACCTCCATTCTGTCACATAGTTACCACATAGTTGTGAGAACACTTAAGATTTATTCTCTTGGTAACACTCAAGTATATGATACAGTATTATAAGGCAAAATCACCATGCTGTACATTAGATCTCTAAACTTGTTTACCTTGTAATTGGAAGTCTGTACCCCTTGTCCCCATTTCCCTTACGCCCCAATCGCTAGTCACCACCACTCTATTCTCTGTCTTAGTTTGACTTTTTTAGATTCCACATGTAAGTGAAGTCATATGGTATTTATTTCTCTTATTTACTTAGCATAATACCTTCAGATCTCATCCAAGTTGTCACAAACAGCAGGATTTTCTTCTTCCTCAGGGCTAAGTAATATTCCATAGTGTGTGTGTGTGTGTGTGTGTGTGTGTGTGTGTGTGTGTGTGTGTGTATGTGTGTGATATATATAAACACAGGGTACGTGTTGGGCATTACCAACAGTACAGTGTTACTAAAGGATTAGTCTGTGATGGGAGACATGAGATACACTTGGAGTTATTGAGGAAGACAATGAATAATCCTAGGTACCATGTTAAGGAGCTTGGGTCTTATCTGGGAAGGCCCATAAAGGGCTTTACATGGCAGTAGGATAGGTAAATTCATAGTAGCTAGGTTAAAAGCCTAGGTACTATGCATATTATCTGTGCATATTAGATAAGAAATGATGAGTGTCTAACTGTAAGATACAGTGATAGAGATGGGAAAAGAGTTATTTAGGAGGTTAGCAAGTGGTTTGGTCGAGTGTGGGTGACAAGGTGGGGAGACAGTGCAGAGCAGATATAAGAGAGCAAAGTATTAGGTGAATGGCTGGAGTTTGCCCTTAGGCAAATGGGTGGGTGGTGGGACTGTAAATTGAGATAAGGAACGTAGTACAAAGTGTGAATAATTACAGTAATAGCTAACATTTATGGGATGTTTAGTAAGTGTCAGGCCCTATGCTATATTCTCTACATAGATTAATGCATTTATTCTAATAATCTATAAAGTGGCACACTTTTTCCCCATTTTATAGGTGAGGAAACTGAGGCATGGAGGGAGGATTAAGGTCCCACTTAGCTAAGCTACAAAACCAGGCACTTTGGCTCCAGAGTTTAGCACTTAGTCTCAGCATTCTATTATAGCATGAATGTAAGTAAGAGCATGAAATCTGACTTCTTGTAATACTTTTTATCTCAGAAAGTAATACATGTGGAATGATAATGGGTGAGGCCTTTGAAGCATTACTTAATGGTTATATTGTTTGGAGGAATGTTTCAGTAAAATACCACAATTATAATAATGAATTGGTTTCATTTGTACAAAGTACAAGAGCATTGAATTTACCAGCAATTTATAAACAATCTAGCAATTGAAGAAAAGATTAGAAATAGGGAATATTTTTAAAATTTTGGGCCATTGCCCATTGTATAGTTTGTTATACGTTTTTTGTGTGTGTTTTTTTTTAGCTGAGCCATCCTGCCACCTGTTGGCAGCTCAGTGGTAGCTCAGCTCGGGCCGTGAATCGAACCTTTGACCCTGTTGCTCAGAGCTCAAGTTCTTGAGTGAGCTCTTAACCAGCTGAGCTACTCGGCCGGCCCTTGTTTTACATTTTTAATAGACATGTGGGAGAAAGTCTCAATGTTAAAGCTGTTAGCATTTCTCTTTGTATAGCTAAACTAGTTAGTGTCTTATTCACAGTAGAAACTCAGATATGGGGTTGGGGATGGGAAGAGAGGAAGCCGAGACAGTGAATAAGGACAACCCTGAAGGAAGTTTCTGGTGGAACAGGGGCAGGCACAAGCGGAGGGCGCCCGGGAGGGGGCCACCACGGCTGATGAGTTACAGCAGGCGGGAAGGCAGAGTATGTGATGGGTGCAGGTGCAGATAGTTGATAAATGTGATTCTGGGAGCAGATGGAAGGGCTCTTTTATCTGTGTGTGTATTTTCAGGGAAATAAAAGAAAAGAGGTTATCAAGCTTTTACCCCCCTAGTCCGCTAGGACTGGTGCTTTTCATAGTGCTGAAGGGAAATGGTCACTTCCTTTTTGAAATACTTTCTCCACTTAACCATGGCCGTTCTCTCTTAGTTTTCCTTCTACCTACCACCTTCTTGTCCCTCCTCAGTCTTCTTTACCTAGTGCCCCTGTCTTCCTGACTTAGGTCTAGGGAGGGCCCAGAGTGTGGACCGCCTTTGTCTCTGTTATCATTCCCTTGGGCGTCTCATTCAGGCCCCTGACACTGAACCCCAGCTGTATGCTGATGACTCCCATATGTGTATTTCTAGTCCTCACTCTCCACTGGCCTCCAGACTTGAATAGCTGACCACTTATTCACCCCCTTTTCTTGTGACCCTCATAGATACCTCACTTGATTCTCCTTCCCCAAATTTATCTGTGGTCTTTTTAGTGAGTGGCCAGTCTACCAGTTATCTCAACCAGTTATTCATTTCTAAAACCTCAGGCATTTCTTGACCACTCTGCCCACTAGCAAATTTTGACAGCGATACCTTCAAAACGTGACCCTTTCCTCTCCTTGCCACCAAGTCCCCCATGGCTCTACCCACCTGTCCACTCTTACCTGGACAATTGTAATAGCCTCCAGTCAGGTCTCCTTGCTTCTGTCCTTGGCCCATGGTGAGCTTGTTAAAACCTAAGTCAAATCACACCACTCTTTTGTCCAAAACCAACCAATGTCTTTTCATCTCACTCAAATATAAGCCAAATTCTTACTGTGGTCTCTAAGGCACTATAGATTCTAAGGCTCCTCTCCCCTTTAATTCTGCCACTTTATCTTAGGCTGCTTTCCTCTCTTCTCAAAGGCTTCTGTGCTTGCCGTTCTCTTCGCCTGATAAGCTTTTTTGTGTTTTTTTTTTTTCCCTAGATAGTTGATATGATGGCCTCTTACTTTTTTCGGGTCTCAGTTTAAAAATGTTGCCTTGTCTGACATATCTTCTCCTCCTACTGCACTGAATAAGCCAGAATCTCCTGGTCCCCCTACTTGCTTTATTTTCCTTCATACCAGTTATCACCACTTGACATATTATACATTCGTTTATTATCTTTTTTCTTCTGCTACAATGTAAGCCCCATGATGGTAGGGATTTCTTTTCCTTCTTTCTTTATGATATCCCAGTGCCTAAAATGATCATGTTTGGCGCCTTATAGGTATTTAATAAATATTCAGTGAATGTTGAATGAATAGCTTTCCTGTTTATGTCTAAATGACTATGTAAGTCAATATTGATCTGAGTGTTTTCTTTTCCCTCCACAGTGCAATGGTCAATTCTGTTCAAGGAAACACATATCCCAACCAGGCCTCAGTGTACAGTCCCCCTCCTGCTGCTGCTGCTGCTGCGGATGTCACTGTATACCAGAATGCAGGAACTAATATGTCCCATGTGCCAAACTATAATTTAACATCATCACCGCTGCCTCAACCAGGAGGCAGTCAACAGCCACCTCAACCACAGCAACCGTATTCTCAGAAGGCTCTGCTATAGGATTTGGGATTCTGGTTTGTGGCAAATATACCTGCTAAATGCCGCTGACAATGTTACGGGAGTCTTTGATATCCTAAGGTTTGTTTATCCTCAGCTGGTAGGAATCTGTCTCGGTCGACAAGTTCAAATATTCAAGAAGGTAGAACTCTTCCATTTGCACTGACTTTTGAGAGGTTCTCCCCTCCCCCTCCCCCAGAGGAATGAAGCTACTTGCATTTAAATTCCTTTCATGATATGAAAGAATTGATACAAGGTTATTTGTCTCATAAAAATACCTGGTCTGCAAAAAAAGTCAAACTTACAAAAACTGCTGTGGCAACTGTTATGTACATATATTGCTATGTAACTTCATTAGTGGCCATTTTGAATCACGACGGTGATCATGTGAATATATTTAACACTGTTAAATTAATTTACATCGCTGTTTTATTTTAATCATGAACAACTACCATGCTTCATAATCTTTTGTGTAAATTTAATAAGATAATTACACTATCCTTTCCAACTGCAAGAGAACAAAGCTGTAGAATATTTACATGAAGGCATTGTGTGGTAGAGGTTTCAGTTTCACATTAAACTGAACCTTTGACTGATTGTGAGCTAAACACTTGTACCTTTTGTCTTTCTGTAGCCTCTGCATACTACTAGCTGTCATCATACCAGCACACAGTAGCTAAATTTTTGGTGCAGTCATAGCAAATGATGTTCCCTTTTAAACTTTGACATTTCGGCATGACATTTCAGAATATTGTGGGACCATGAGACAAAATTGAGTAGGGTCATGTTCTTGATATCTTATTTTTAAAGATAGAATGTTGATTTACTTTTTCCTAGTTGAAATAGCTAATTAGGTTTATAAGCTGTATACTGTGTTTATTGGTGGCAGTGACACCAAAGATAGAGGCAATGGATAGGCATTTTTAAACTGGAAAGAAACCATGAATAACACTACATTTTCAAAGTCTCTTGTAATTATTTAGGATATAAAAAAATGGATTCATCTGTCTTATCCCACTAATCTATACATTGTATCCTTTAATTCTTCATTAAAATGGATATAAGTAGATGTTTCAAAGTAATCAATATTCCTGGCTTTGCTTAACAGTTTGTATATTTATTCTTATCTTTCAAACTGGATTATGGGGCTGCTCTCTCTTTCTCTCTCTCTTTTAAAATTCTAATGGAATTATGTTGTCTTCCTATTCAGGAGTCTTTTTGAATGAATGCTTTTCTTTTAATCCATATAAAATATGTTTTCCACTGACATTTTAATCTTAAATATTTATAATTTTCCTGGTTGTGCTATATAATTATTTAACTCTATTATTTAAATAACTGAAAAATTCAGTTGAGCATCATATTAAATGAATTGATGTAACAGGTTTCATACCATAAATGAAAGTTTGATTTGTATTTTCTAAGACTATTGTAGTCAGATAACGATAACTTGTTTACTTTCCCTTTTGACAAATGATTCCCTCTTTGTCAAGGAATCTTAATGGTGACCAGTTTTATAGGTTCAAGTTTAAAGCACTGTCTTCAATGTAAGTGTTTTCCCTGGTATTGTGTTTTCCTGACTTTAGAGGCTGTTGCCCTCAAATAGTAATTTTAAAAATTGAATTCAAACTTCACATTAAAAAAATTTAATGTTGTTTTTTGATAAACATTGTCAGATTGTAATCTTCATTCCAATTTGAGTATTCTAGTTTAACTGATACACTTTTTCCCAAGTCATATTGCATTTTTCTCTTTGTCTTTTGATAAATGTATCATTTCCCCATTTTATTTTGAAATCCTTCATGCTGTAAAATCAGTTACATATTCTTAGTTACTTTTGCCCTGTAAACGTCAAAGAATGGTAAAATGAAAAAAGCGACCCTTACTACAATGCATATACATTTTTTACCTATTACGTTAGAATGCTTATAAATGATACATAAAACTGATACTATATTAGTTTGTGCTTTTCATTTGTTAGATACAAAAATACCAGCTGGAACAATTCCAATGAAAAGGAACCACTGGTTTTTCTATCTTTTAGATGACATGGCAAGGGCAGAAATAAGACAAGACCTGTTAGGAGCACAGTGATTTTGTTTTGAAACCAGTGTAAGTGTTGTACTTTCAAGAAAAATCTGTCTTTAAAATATAGCTGTCTTTTTTTTTTTAAGGAATAGGATTATTTATAAAATGCACTAACTATAATGTGAATTTCTGTGAAGCAAATTTATTTCCGTGATAAAGTTTGAGTTTGTATCTGTAAACCAGTGGCATCTAAATGGAAAAATTCAGGTCAGTTACTGTCTAGCATAGCCAGGGCTGATTGGATGTGGTAATAAGTCAGTGCCCTAAACCTCCTAGGAGCACTATGGAGTACTTACTGTGGTTTTACAACATTTTTAACCTTATGGTTGTCCTTCACTGTTACCTGCCCCTCCTACTCAGTGGGGGGCCATTTTATGTACCCATAGATTCCTTCATATTATTATAGATGCTTCTGAAGCTTTTTATCTATACCTATTAATGTTTGTAATTAAAATGCTTAGTAGATCACTAATATTCTTTCCTATTCTAATATAGTTTTCATATATGACATGTATAATTCAACTTGAAAATATCTTTAGTCCAAACCTTCAAGTTTATATAAGACAGAGTAGGCCCTATGTGATAATCTATGCAACTATAACATCTATATAAATTACTTTCTAAAATGAGGTCCATTGCTAGATTTGGTCAAATTTTTTTCCATTTAGTACATGAAAATCAGTTTTCTTTATTCATATATCCTTGGTTAACTTACCAATTACACTAATGATTATAGGTTCCTGTTATTATCACTTTTTAAATATTTAAGAATTAGTTTAAATTTTTCACTCTTACATTATTTTCTAATTTTTTAATTTTTGTTGTTGTTGTTGATTAACTGCTTGTACCCCTTAGAATAAAATACATAGAAGAAACTTATCTAAATATTTTCTCTAAGGCCTATATTTAGTTATTTTTTATTAGAATCATGGTTGGTTACGTGTTCTTGCCAAGTATCTAGATTATTTTCTATATTATTTATAATGACATACAGCCCCTGGTTTCTAAGCAAAGCTGTCTGAGTTTTATGTATTCTTTTTAGTTTGATCTTCCTTTGAAATTATAAAACTTAGGAACTTTTTTCTGGAGTTTTCCTGGCTTCAGCAATATTTTTTCCTTGTGATGTTCTAGAACATTTTTAAATATCAGTATTTAAAATCTTAGATTTCCTTGCTGGACAAAATTTAACATTTTATTGGTGATGACTTGTGTTTATACTGAACTTGGATGATTTTCTGACTGTAGCTTATGCTAATACTTTCTACTGCCATCGTTGTCTGTGTGCTGCTTCTTATAGAATCACAGAATTTCTGAGAAGGATTATATATTATTAAGAGTCAGCAAGCCCCTGGACAAAAGCAAAAGGTACTGGTTTTAATGATCTTTTGGTGATCAGAGACTTTAAGAAAATTTTTCATCTATTTAAAAAAAGTAGTACCCCCAATTTTTCTTCTCATACCCTTATCAGTAACAAATAGTTTTGAATATGTAGCCCCAAAGTATGTATATATATGTATTTACAAATTGTAAAAGTTCTGTATGCACATAAATATATATTATACGTTATAAAACACACCAAAAATTAAAGAGGGTGAGTGAAAAAATTATTAATAGAAATTTTAATATTTTCTTCCCATATCTCTGGTTCTTTTAATCAGTGCCCTAGAATGTGTATACCTGATTTGGAGACCACTGTTGTAGAGGTTAAGATTAAACAGAGAGAGGGAGTAGGATGTTACTCAGTTGCCCCATGAAATAAGTATCTGATATTCTCAGTGGTGCTTTCCCCAGCAACTTTACGTGTATTTTGAGGATTTTCAGACCTACAGAAAGATTGAAAGAATAATACATTGAACACCCAATAACTCTTCATCTGGATTGTTAATCATTAGCTTATTGTCACATTTGCTTTATTTCTTTATGTATGTTTACATATACATGTGTGTATATATGTTCATGTGTGTAGGTGTGCCTACATACACGTTCTTTATTGTGTGAACAGACAAGTTATAGACATTGCACAGTGCTCCTAAGTGTTTCTTCATGTATCCTATAAAGATAAGTACACACATCTAGGAAAATTAGCAGTAATTCTGTAAAATCTGTTATCAAATGCCCCCCAAACTGTCTTTTATACATTTAAAAAATAATCTAGGAACATATAACACATTTTTTATGTCTCTTTATTCTCTGTGGGTCTAGATTAATCTCCTTGTCTTTTTTTTTCTCCATAACATTGACTTTTTTAAAGATCTGCACCATTTGTCTCGTAGAATGTCCCACATTCTGGATTTATCTCTTCTTTATTTAACTTGATGCTCTATTCTCATTATAATCTATTATTACTTAATCCTAAAAGAATTACAATCAGAACCATATGGTTTATGGTTAAAAGTGATGAATCTAAAATTTTCAGGCTCAGAACAAACAATTGTACATATAAATTAACACTGTTAACGTGTGGTTACTCTGTGTAACAGACAGTATACTCAGGCCATTGACTACCGTATAGCTCAATACAGTTTTGTGTTCTTCACTTCAGATTGCCCTCAGAGTCATGGAAGAAAATTTGTGTTTAAAAAAGAAAATTAGATAGCTTCCCTTTTTTCCCCATTCAAACCAAAATCATCTTTTCTCAAGCTTCTTCATCGACTTGATTCACTCTGGATGGCCTTTAGGTATTTTTTAAAATGTAATCAATTGTGCAGGGCTTTGGTTTTGGATGCATACATTTTGGTATGTTTGTTTTAAAAGCCTCATTACCATATAATCATATCGTCTATTAAAATACTGAAATCACTAAAGAGGAAGGAAAGTCCTTTCTTGTAAAAAGTTCTAATTATTGCTTATTATCCTCAAGTTGGTTACCAAATTGAAATCATGCAAAGTAAAACATATATAACCACTATCAAGTTAGAAACACAAACAAGTGATAGTAATGTGCAGTATCAGGTTATTAAATAGTTGGTTTAGGACCTTCCGTTATTTCAGTTGGTTAATGGCTTAAAAAAATAAAGTAAATGTTTGTAATCCACTGTTTCTGTGGCAGGATATATGAAGTTGCTTGAGGGCAGGATCATTACATATCTTGCTTGTTACTTTAAAAAGAGATGGTACATACACAGTTGAGAATGTTTTCACTTAATTAGGTGTAATATTATCTGTTATCCAGTTAAAATGCCAAGTATTATGAAACATCCATACGATATGGTTATGTTACTCAGAACCAAAAACATGGGGGGAAAAACCCCAAAAACTGTGTACTGTTGGAATTTGTTTTTCTTCCCTCAGTGAAAAGAACTTTTCAATATAAGTAGCTTTGATATTCTGTTATTTAAAAATATACTAACACATTCTAAAGGAGTTGCAAAAAGTGACCGAAGAAGTTGTAATCAAGAATACAGGTAAGTTCACTTCATATTTACCAGAGAGGTTTCATTATAACAAGTCCATTTTTATAAATGGTGTCTGGCACTTGATAAAAGGGTTTCGTTCATTTGCACTGCAAATTGTATCAGTTTGCGACCACATGCGTTTCTTCTAAAGGAAGTAGCGGTACTTTGGGTTGAAGAGTAAGAATTAAATTTTACATTTTAGGCGTTTATTGGGGTTCTATTCTGTGAAGCAGAAATTTCTGTCCATTGTCCTGAGAATTCAGAGAACTGGATTCTAACCCAGATATCTTGTGAAAAGAATACCTTATTAAATATACTCATATGATCTTGGACAGTTCCATGAATCTCTCTGTCATCTACTTATTAACTGTCATGTTGGTATAACTACATGGTCCTTTGAAGCTTGCAGAAATTCTGTGCTTCGGATTTTCTACCTCTGTGTATCTTAAATATCCCTGTCATGCAGCCTGAATAACTCACCAATGCCACTGAAATTACCCTCCTGTAGCTTAGAGGAGGAAAAGGGATGGGAATGGGGTTGAGGACTGACAGGGGTGCTGAAACGTGAGAACGTGATTTCTATTAATAGTACAAGGTCCTAACAGTCTACTTCCTGAAAGTAACCTTGGGGATACTGTATTTCCATTAGTAAACTCGAGCCTTTTGTTTATGCTTCAGTGACCCCACCAGGAACTTCCACACTCTAGGTAGGTAGAAGTGCTTTCATTTCTAGTACTTTAATTTTCCGGTGCTGATTTGGGAGAAAAAGTCAAATAAGTACAGCTTGGAAGCATATACTGTTTTTGTATATTGCTTCAAACTGAAGGAGATAGGTAGCATCAGACTACATGCAATTTTATTGTTCTTGATGTTCTAGGAAAGTAGTACCCTTGACCTTATTGACCTGACAATGGTGATGGAGACAAAGCACTACAGCCATCCTTCAGCTGTTTTGTTTCCTAAGTGAGCAGATTGCCTGAGATGTTAGAAAAACGGAAAACTATCAGTTTCTTCCTCTGGTGCTGGCTAAGAGAGTATTTTTCTAATATTCCAAAACAAGGTGCAAAATCAACACTGGCATTTTTTTCCATCACAAATATTTGGACTAGAAAAATGCCATTATATATTGTTTAGTTATATATTACTAATTTAAATAAACATTAGCTAGCTAAATAAAGGTTAGT